GCTGGAGGCTTTAATTTTAGGGGTATGTTCCCCGCTCATGTGCGACTAAAAAATTTTGCATTTAACTCTTCTGGCGTGGCCTTTTTTTGCGGACCAGCAACTTTCCATTTGTCGGGTCACTGAAGTCGACACCGACAACTGACATATAAATAGCTGCACAATTAACTTCCCGGACTTCGAGGGCCGGTATTTCACAGGGTTAGCTACTTTGATTCCTTGCGATCTTGCTGCGGCACAAAGTAACTGCACAGTTAACTTCCGAATTTCGAGGGCCAGTATTTCACAGGGTTAGCTACACTGACTCCTTGCGATCTTGCTACGGTATGAAAAGTGCAAAAACGCCTAATCGCACCGGCCCGCCTGGTGTGTTCCAGCCTGGGTTTCATCTTGAGAGCTACAAAAGCTGCGGGGCTGAAATTTTGGGGACTTAATCTACATGCAAGTGCGGGCCCCAATCTCCAAAGTGGGCGGTCCTACCTGCGTGGTACCCACGTAAGAGCCCCTCAAAGTTTTTTACGGATAGGCTGCTAACTCACGAACCAGAAAAGCCAGAAAGCTGAAATTTTTAGGGGATTTTCCACGTCAAAGTAGGTATTAATGTGCTGAAAACTGGCCCCGTGTAAGCGTGGTAGCTGCGTACGAGCCCGCCAAAATTTTTTTCGAGTAAGTTCATTACTCGGGGATCTGAGACGCAAGAATGCTGAAATCTTAGGGAACGTTCCCCGTCCAAGTAGGTATTAATGAGCTGAAACCCATCCCCCTGGTAAGCGTGGTTCCCGCGTACGGGTCCGCCAAAATTTTTCCCGGATAAGTTCGTAACTCGCGAAGCAGAAAAGCTAGAAAGCTAAAATCTTAAGGGGATGTCTCCCTCCAAGTGGATATTAATATGCTCAAACCCAGCCCTTGGGTGTGCGTGATACCCACGCACGGGCTCGCCAAAGTTTTTTTTTGGCTAGGTTTATAACTCGGGAATTTGAAAGGCTAAAGGACTGCAATTTTTATAGGATATTCCACGTTCGCCTAAGTTTCATTGAGCTTAAACCCAGATCTGGGTACGCGTGGTAACCACATAAGATTCCGCCAAATTTTTTTCGGGTAAGTTGCTAACTCAGGAGCCAGGAGAGCTAGAAAGCTGAAATTTTAGGGAGGGGAGATGCTTCCTGACAGTTCTGGCGGCCAGTCTTAATTTGTTTAGCCAGGAGCATTTGCCGAAAAAACCGGTGCCGGTAGCGACAAAACCTGCGGAAAACTATGCAAAAAACGCATCTTCGCACGGGCAGCCCCTGCGTTGGCCAGTCATTTTACCTCAGTTATCAGCGTTTTTTCCTTCTACATGATTGCTTGAACAAAAGCTGCACGGGCGGTGTTGAAGCAAAAACAGGACAAGCATCATTCTTTCTTCTTTTTATGCGTTTTTGCATCTTATGCAAATACAGAAGCATATTGTTAAGTGGCTTTTTATGCTTTTTGAATCTGTACAAATTTCAAAAACGCATGTTGGCAAGAGGCTGCGTGTGTGTGTGTGTGTGTGTGTGTGTGTGTGT